GAAGCGTGGGAGGGTGAGAGAATTCATCAGAGCGAGAGCAGGGAGCAGAGCAGGCAGAAGGACCGAAGTACACTGCTGAGGGGAGGAGCGGGCGGCAGGAGAGGTCTGCGCGCCATGTGGGACCCTCCTCCGGTGGCCGGGGAGCAGCTGGGGATCGAACCGGCACCGCAGAGGCTGCGGGCAGCCTGGCAACCCAGCGCTCAACAGCTGCGCCACCGGGGAGGCCCTATTTTGTTTCTTAAAAATTTATTTTTATTTATTTATGCATGTAAGAACTGGGGTGTCTGCCAGAGGTGCAGATGAGAGGATTCACCAGAGGCAGAGTGGCAAGCAGAACAGGCAGATCTACTGAAATACACTGCCGAGGAGAGCAGCAGATGAAACAGGCGAGGTCTGCTGAACCATGTGGATTAGCTCCTTTACTGGGGATTAGACTCTGGCCCCTTTGCTACTGGATAGCCTTTGAGGTGATAGCACTGAGACTTAAACCCTAGGCCACCAGGGAGGCCCCAGTCTTAATTTTTCTTTTCCTTCTTTTAAAAAGATTTATTTATGCATACAAGAGCTGGGGTACAGGCCAGAGGTGTGGGGGGTGAGAGGATTCACCAGAGACAGAGTGGGACAGAACAGGCTGATCTACTGAAATACACTGCTGAGGGGAACAGCGGGTGGGTCAGGAGAGGTCTGCTGCACCATGTGGTTAGCACCCTGGCTGGCCAGGGATGGAAATTGTGCTGCAGTGGCTGCAGATAGCTTCATAGTTCTGTGTCTTAATCCTTTGCACCACCAGGGATGCCCCCCAGTCTTAACTTTTCACTGTTCTAGGGATAAGCTTCTCATTCGGTGTTTCATCTAATAGTGCTCTTAGACAGTATCAAACTTACACCCAGTACAGAGCTTATGAATTCCCTCCTAAACCTGTCCTTTTCCATTCCTATGCAACAGATTACTCTGACCTGGTTCCTTTGTTTCCTTCATATGGTCCTCTTGCACTTACAAGACTCAGGAGTAAGATCTCTTCTTCATTGTTACAAAATGTATCTCAAACTTCATACTGCTGCAGACAGGACAGCCAGTGAATTTCTCTGCCATTAATGAAGACTGGGAGTCTAAATGAATTTGCAATGGGGGGAGCCTGGGGAGAGAGCCATGGAGAGCACCTCTGCCTTCCACTCTTCCAGCCCAAGCTTTTATTGACAATATGGACAAAGAACAAGAAAATGACACACAATGTGTTCGTGCTTATACAGATTAATAAGTTACTGCTGAAAACAAGTTTTCCTGCTTAGTAAGGTACATGCAGAGAAGCCAGTACATCCTCAGAGAACAGGAGTCAATTCTGGGAAGAAACTCTGTTCGCAGAACTTCTAAGGTCCTGGAACTCCGTATGCGGAGTAAACAGGTATTCTCCAAAAACTCCAGCTCTCTTTAGGGCAGCAGGCTCCCAACATGATACTTCTTTTTCTTTTTGTAAATATATTGATTTAGTTTTTTACATCATTGCTCATTTTTGTACAGTGTTTGATTTCTCCGCTTAGGTGTAATCCCCATAAGGTTCCCTCCACAACATCACCGGTGAGCCATCACCATAGTCCCTTGTGCTCTTTCCTCCAGTTTTATTTTATTTTTAAAGATTTATTTTTATTTATGTATACAAGCACTGGGTACAGTCAGAAGCACGGGAGGGTGAGAGGATTCACCAGAGCCAGAGCGGGGAGCAGAGCAGGCAGAAGGACCGAAGTACACTGCTGAGGGGAGCAGCAGGTGGCAGGAGAGGTCTGCACGCCATGTGGGACCCTCCTCTGGTGGCCAGCGAGCAGCCGGGGATCCAACCGGCACTGCAGACGCTGCGGGGTGGGGTGGGGGGGTGGGGGGTGGGGGGGTGGGGGGGGGTGGGGGGGTGGGGGGGTGGGGGGGGGTGCAGCAGCTTTGCAACCCAGCGCTCAACCGCTGAGCCACCGGGGAGGCCCTTCCCTCCAGTTTTAATCCCTCTCCCTTCCCCTCCCCAGTTTTATGTCTCTGATTTATTAAGCTTGATACTTCCCTTCATTCCAACTCTCACACTGCCACTGCGGTAACAAAAACTCCAATAACTTCTTGTTATACATAAAATAAAATACATACTTCCTACTATGTTGGCCTACAAGCACTTTCATGGTTTGAGAGCCTCCCGAATTGCATAGGGCTACAGAGGTTGTGCATTGCACAACTTTAGGGGGTCCTCCTTCATATACCTGCAAAACACTGTTCGGTCCAGTTATTTTCTCCACTACTATGTTGTAAATGCTTTGAAAAAGAACACGAATGTGTCTCATTTTCAAATCTTGTAGATCCATTGCAGATGCCATCTCACTTTTTCCTTTTCTGGTACGTGGCACTGTTTACCACTCCATTCTACTTGAAAGTTGTTTTTCCCTTGAAAAACATATTCCGATATGCAGTCACTGTAACAAACAGGTTACCGTATGATCCATCAATTCCATTTCTGGGCAGAGATCCACAGTAATAGAAAGCAGAGTCTTGAAGAGATATCTGCAAACCCATGTTTGCAGCATTATTCACAATAGTTGAAAGGTGAGTGCAATCTAAATGTCTATTGACAGATGAATGAACATACATAATGGAATATTATCCAACCTTAAAAAGGAAGGCATACACTTATGACATGGATGAATCTTGAAGATATTATGCTAAGTGAAATAAGTCAGTCACAAAAGGACAGATAATGAAAGATTCCGTTGATAGGAGTCATCTAAAGGAGCCAACTCATAGAAACAAACAAAAAAAAGGAATGGAGTTTGCCAGGTACAGAGGGGAGTGGGAAAGAGTTGTTTTTTAATGGATATGCAGTGGCAGTTTTGTAAGTTAAAAAGTTCTGGAGATTGGTTTACAACAATGTGAAAATACTGCTAATTAACTGTACACTTGAAAATGGTTAAGATGGTATATTTTATGTTATGTGCATGTTAGCACAAATTTAAAAACAATGACCCCCAATTGAACTGAATTGTTTTACTCTCCAATCTCCTTCTCTCCTGGTTTCCCAGTTTTCAGTAACTACCCCTTACCAGTCACCTGGGCAGAAAGCTGGGCATTGACCTGAAATGCCCCCTCACCCTCACTCTCCTTTGTCAGTCTAGTACCAGGCTTTTTGGCTCTATCTTCTTAACATCTCCTTAAACATCTCATGCTGCCCTTCCTCTTTATTAGTCTCCTTACCTTCATCCACACAGAGTGACTACTGTTAACTGTTTCCCAGTTACTCTACTGACCTAAGGCTATTCCATTCAAATTGTTTGTGTCTCTACTAGAATCTTTTTTAAAATCCAGAAGTGAACAGATTCCGTTCACTTTTAAAAATACTGTAAGTAAATAAATCTTTAAAAAATAAAAATAAAAATACAGTAACAGTTTCCTCTTGGATGCTACTATGTAGAATCGAAAATGAGATTTGTTCTGATATAGTCCCTAGTTCTTAGCTCTTATTTCTTCTTGGGCCTTTCTATATTAATATACTTCAACTTTTCTAAGCTGCTTTTAGTATAGTTTCATGTCTCTATGCCTTTGTTCATTCTGTACTCACTGACTGAACAACCAGAATGTTCCTTATCCTGTCCACCTGGTGAACACCTGGTTTTCTTTGAAGGCAACTCAAAACTGGGTCCCCTGTGAAACTTCTGTTGACCACTTCCCTTTTTCCTTTGCACAGAGTTTATTTTACCTTCTCTTTACTACCTATTTTTTTAATCAATACTTTTGTAACATTTTATTGCATTTGCTTACTTTACATGTGTGTGGATCCTTTATTTCAGATTCTTTAGAAGTCAAGACCATAACTTCTTTCTCTTTACAGCCACAATGCCCAATATGGTATTCTGGAATATTGTACATATTTATGAACATTTGGTTGACTATATTTTTATGCAGATATGAATTGGATATTTATTCAACAAACATTTACTGAATGCCTATTATGCTCTAGAGTTGGGGCTATCAGGAGTTTAGTGCACAATGTAGTAAAGAGATATGTTAAGGAATATAGGTGTGTTCAAACTTACCCATGAATGGCAAACACTTAGCAGAGGTATGAACTGACAGTTGTATGTTGAAGGGACAAAGGAAGGACAGAGTAATAGTAGGGTGGAGGTGAGTTAGGAAAACCCTCACATGCAAGGTATCTTTGGAATACTTAAAAAATCTTTGGTAAGTATTTACCAGGTTCATGGTTCAGGGGATGTCCTTAATTAGCCATTGTATTTTGCAGTCTGGCACAGTAATTATACTTAGTAAGTGCTTAATATACAATGGGTGAATGAACTGAATCAATGAAACATTCTGGGTCAGGAAAGGCTTTTAATCAGAAAATGCTAGGGCCAGCTTAGTTCATTAGGAAGAAAACTGAATTGGAGGTATAAGAGATAGAAAGCTGAGAAAGGATGGGGGAAAAATCACTTTGATTTCGCAGGTGAGTGATGATAATGGATTAACGCAATGGCAGCAAAAATGGAGAAAAGGGGCAGGATTCTAGGATTTTTGAAGCAGATTAAGATTTTGTGACAATGAGATGTGGGGAGGAAGATGGAGAAAGTGAAAATCAGGCCAGTTAAGTTTGTTATGGGGCTTGCATGCATCAGCATATGCGCACCAATCTATAAAACACAAAACATTAGACAACAGTTGGTTGTTTTAATTTTTGGCTGCTCTGCGTTTAGATGGGCAAAGTGGGTAAACTTTCAGAGATATGTTCAGAGCCAAAGAAAACATAAAACTTTGGATTAGTTTTTATGATTTCTGAGATTTCTCAAGGAGCAGCGAAAGCAATCTGATCAAAGACCGGAGGAAGAGAAAGCAACTCAGCTACTTCATACATGGCCCCTTCTCCGCTGTCTGAACTTTCCAACCTCCCAGGTACCCCAGAGCCACCGAGCACCGCCCACTTCTTCCCGGCGTTCGTCCGTCCTCCGGATCTCCTGGCTGGCCAATCAGCTGGGACATCGTCATCACCATGCGCCCCCACCGGACAAGTCAGAGACGGCACCACGTGTACTGTGTTGACTGTCAAAGTCCTGGGGAACCCAACACCCGGAAGTTGTGAGTTCTGGGGGACATTTGTGCGCTCCAGTGCCCGGGATCTGCGAATCCCCAACCATGAGCGCCCCGGGCGTGCTGTCCTTTACCCAGCAAGGCTGGGAGCAGGTGCTGGCCAAAATGAAACGGGCTGTGGTCTACCTGGACGCCGCGTGTGCCGAGAGCCTGCACTGGAGCTGCGGATCCACCCGGCTCCTGGAGGCGGTGGGGGGTCCTGCGTGTCACCTGCGGGAGTTCGAGCCCACAGCAGTTGGTGGCGGAGCGGAGCAGCCTAAGGCGGTGTTTGTACTAAGCTGCCTGCTGAAAGGACGGACCGTGGAGACTCTACGGGACATCATCTGCCGCAGTCACTTCCAGTATTGTGTGGTGGTCACCGCGGTGAACCACGCTGTCCACCTCACGGCTAACCACGTGCCGGCAGCGGCAGCGGCGGAGATGGAGGGACAGCCGGTATTCGAGCAGCTGGAGGAGAAGCTGTGTGAGTGGATGGGCAACATGAACTACACCGCTGAGGTGCTGCATGTCCCGTTGTTACTCGCTCCTGTTGCTCCCCACCTTGCCTTGACTCCAGCCTTTGCTTCCCTTTTTCCCCTGCTACCCCAGGATGTGCATCTCCTTAACAGTATCCGACCCGACAAGAGGAAACTGGGAAGCCTGGGTGAGGTGGATGCCTCTGCGCTGACCTCTGAGCTATTGCTGCAGATCAGGTGCCTGGTGTCAGGCCTCAGTTCTCTGTGTGAGCATTTAGGGGTTAGGGAGGAGTGTTTTGCTGTGGGTTCCCTCAGTAGGATCATCGCTGGAGATCTGGCCAATTATGCCCCTGCCAAGAACAGGAGGAAGACTGCCACTGGCAGGGCATCAGTAATCTTTGTGGACAGAACTTTGGATCTCACAGGTAAGTGGTGTTGCTGTAGAGGGCTTCATATCCATCCACGAAAATAATGTGGCTTTCATTGGTTTAGCTTATATTTTATTGACCTCTTACTGATTATTGAGGATACAGAGAGTAGTTCGATGGGCACAGTCCCTAGTCTCACAGAGTTTATAGTCTAGAGGGGGATACAGACAAGCGAATTAGCAAATTAGCAATTAAAATTTCTTATGTGTTGTAATGACATCCTTAACATGCAGCCTTTTTAAATAACTACATCTAGCCCAAGAAATTGGTCAATGGAATTATGCTGACAGGAAGAAGAAACACCAATGGGAAACTTTTAGAAATGTCAGATGCCGGTATTCACAACAGCTCTTCACAAAATAATTCTTACTTGCTGGAGATGTGTTAACAGATGACCTAGTGGAAGGGTGGCTATATTACAAAACATGAAATTATGAAAGATAATTGAGTTTAAGTTTCTTAAAAAGAGGGTTAATAAATGAGGCAGAACTTAAATATCACCAGAAAATGAGATTAAAGAACTGTACAGGAGATATTTTCAAGTGTTTGTTCATTTATTCTTAACTCTTATTCAATTGAAGATTGGTCAGATAATCTCAAATCATAATATATTACGTAATGAAAGAATTAGCTCTTAAAATAGGTAAGGAAAAACGTTTTGATACTTGATATATGCATTTATAATCAAAGGTCAACTTTATTGTTATCTATGGCTACTATTATAGCTATAATGTTGCTGGTAGTATAATTAGCTACATCCCAAGTTCAGGGAGAATAATCAGGAAACTGACACTGGTGAACATTCCCATAGGTCAGAAAGAAAATTGATGAAGTTATAAAAACCAAAATAGGTGTGTGTGTGTTTTGGGCCTTAATAAGATTAATTTTCAGATCATGAAGTAGAATAGCTAAGTGATTTGTATGTAAGTTTATATGTAAGTTTAATTACATTGGAAAAACCAAGTGTTCAGTCTGTCACTGTAATTTAAATATAATAATTGAAACATCACAAAAATCTTGGAGATGAAAAAGATAGCACCCGATGAGTTCTTTGAATGCATGGTATATGCTGCTTATACCTAAATTACTTTATGACAAAAATGTGGCAATAGTGTTTTATCATTAATCAAGGTCACGTATTTTTACAGCCCCCCACTAAAGGGCAAACCCTAATGTCTAGGCATCCTGTGTCATAGTGACAAGTCTTTTATGTCTTTAGCATCTCTTCTTGTAGGATTCTGTTGTACATGTAGAGCAAACAAGGTAAGCAGAACTTGTACTCTTTAACAGCCTTAATATAAAGCAAGAATGATTTAGCCTTAATATAAAGTCAAGAATGATTTAGAAAATAGGGCACATAGAAATACAAAGTTGCCATTCTGCACACAATTATTTTATACTTTCTCCTTAAACCTCCAGATCTCCCTCTTGGTATTTAGCGCTCAGCATTCCTGATTTTATATCATTGAAAAAGTATAAGTCATGAGAAAATATCCACATCTTTTCATTGTCAAATTTACCAATCTTGCTATATGTGCTTGACGCATTTTCTTTCCTTCCTTCATATTAAAAAGATGCACTGGCTCTGCTACTTTGCAATGCTAACTATTTCACCTGTGCAAACCAGATCTTCTCTCCTTTCACTTCTCTCATAGATTTACTTCTTACATATCCCATCCACCTTTCCTAGATCATCAATTTTAAAATATGAGCATAACACTACCTACTTCTTAAAGTTGTTGTAAGAATTAAGTGGAAAATAAATGTAAAGTACACAATAGTACCTGGTATAATGTAAACTCTCAGTAAATACTAGCTCTTGTGATAAGATGATGACGGTGATGATGATTCCTTGGGCTTCTGCTGTGGTGTTTCCTACCTAGTGCTTCTGTTCAATTAATATGACATGGCACCAAAACAATAAAGAGATATTAGAAAGCAAATGTTAGCTGATTTGAAGTGGATGGGCTCTAAATAAGTAGATACAGTAAGTCCCCTCCATTGTTGGTATGATGTCTTCTAAACAGGGTGGATTTTGGAGAAATAACTTGTTTTCATGGGTAAAACAATGAACTGTCATTGGTCTTGAATTTTTTTTTAAAGATTTATTTATTTATACAAGCGCTAGGTACAGTCAGAAGCTTGGGAGGGTGAGAGAATTCATCAGAGCCAGAGTGGGGAACAGAACAGGCAGACTGATGAAGCACACTGCTGAGGGGAGCAGCGGGCGAGGCAGGAGAGGTCTGTTGCGCCATGTGGGACCCACACCCGGTGGCCTGGGATGGAACCGGCACTGCAGAGGCTGCGGGCAGCTTCACAGCCCAGCGCTCAACCGCTGCGCCACCAGGGGAGGCCCTGGTCTTGAATTTTAATTTGAGTTCATGAGTTCATTTTTTTGTTAAAAGAACTAGTGCAAACAAAGAATCTAGATCAGTGGCTAGTATACAGAAAGAAGTCTATAAATGTTTCTATAATTGCAAATTGTTATTATTCACTCATTTATTCTTTCCTTTATCTAGAAAATATATAGTGAGAGCCTACTAGCTGCCAAGTTCTAGCCATCCTGGGTACAAGGTCAACTAGATAAACAGTTGCTGTTATGAAGATAAGGTTTAGCAGAGGGGAGATCTCCTATTCTAAGCTCTACTGTGTCTTAATGTCTATCAGTAAAAGAAAATCTTTTTGATTCTAAAATTTCAGGATAGTATCATCCTATGACATGATTTACTTCGCTATCTGCATGTTTATTTATTCATTAAATGTTGGTTGATGCTGCCGTGTGTCATAGGTGCTAAGAGTGTCAGAATAGACACAGTGCCATCTTTCATGGAGCATTAAGTCCTACCCGCAAGGCACAAATTGAGCTTTATTAGTGCTACCAACAGCAAAATACTAGGTTTATATTACTGACTTTTGTCACAGAAACTAATGTGTTATCTTTGCTAGAAGGGCCTTTAATCCACTTTCTTTTTATCTTTGCTTGTCTGATTAAACAGGAGCAGTAGGACATCATGGCGATAGCTTGGTAGAGAAGATTTTTTCAGTGCTTCCACAGCTTCCAGGCCACACCAACGATGTGATGGTGAACATGGTGGAACTCACAGCCCTCCCCACTGAGGACGAGAATCAGAATGTGGTTGCCCCAGGCTGTCTTGCACAATCCAGGTAAGATACATAAGATTTTTCTCTCATCCTTTTCTCTCTTCCCTTTTTCTTCTCTCCTACTCTAACTATTCTCATAATCCATGAGGAGTTCATCTGGTTGAAAAATTCACAGTGGACAGCATTTAGAAAAAAGCATATTTTCATAGCTTTGAAATAACCACATTCTTTAAACAACCCTGAGCCAAAAAGTATGCTACTTTATAGAGGTGTCATTTAGATGTAATATAAGCTTGTTTCCAGAATCAGTTAATTTATGTGTCTCCATTTCACATACAGTTTCACATGGGGCAAGTCTAGGCTTACTCAATTTCTTTTTCCAGTTGACTTTTTCACATAACTAAAGACAGGTCATGGGCCTCCCCGGTGGCAGTGCACAGACTCCTGCCGCCCGCTGCTCCCCTCAGCAGTGTATTTTGTCAGTCTGCCTGTTCTGCTCTCCTCTCTGGCTCTGGTGAATTCTCTCACCCTCCTATGCTTCTGACTGTACCCCTCTGCTTGTATAAATAAATTAATTTAAAAAAAAAGGCAGGTCATATAGCTCTGAAACAGTGCCATCTTTTTATATGTAAATGATAAGCTCTTGGGCATCAATGGTGAAGTTTTTATTTCTATTTATATTGTTTTCACATGCTTAGAGAAATCAGAGTAAGAAGATGGTGTATTTTATTTTATTATTTTTTTAAATATTTATTTATTTATGCATACAAGAGCTGGGGTACAGGCCAGAGATGTGAGTGTATTCCTCAGAGACAGTGGAGAACAGAACAGGCAGATTGACCAAAGTACACTGCTGAGGGGAGCAGTGGGCGAGACAGGAGAGGTATGTCTCACCATGTGGGTCGCTCCCTGGCCTGCCGGGGATCAAACTCATGCTGCAGAGGCTGAAGATTGCTTCATAGTGCGGTGCTTAACCCCTTGCACCACCAGGGAGGCCCAGATGGTGTATTTTATATTATGCCAAGTTTTAAAAATAAAAGAAAATTTCTTCAGAAACATGACAATAAAAAGAACAGTAGTTACCTTCTCTGCTTTGTTATCCAACAATTCCTAGGGGGAGGAAATGCTTCAAGAGCGGGGAAAGTGTCTAAAAGTATTTCTTTTATTTCCATTTTTTAAATAAAACCTTTTGGCATTATGGTTTCAAATCTTCACAGTAACAGGTACATTAGGAATTTTGTATCATATTTGGAATTGATTTTCAGCTCCTGAAACTTCCAGCTTTTTTGTAGAGATAATAACATTAGATCCCCAGCATGAGAAGAAAACAAAAAGTTCTGTAGTGTCTCTTTTTTATATGCTTATGCACACAATAAAATAGAAGGCATGAGCTCACTCTGGTAGCACATATACTAAGGACTTGACTTCTACAAACCCAGAAGTAATTGTGATTGGAAATACTTTTAGCTGTTCAGTGGGCCATTCAAAAGTTAATTTTAACGGACTTACTATGAGTCTTACTCTGGACTAAGTAATATGAAAGACATAAAGTAATATAAAATATTATCCTTGCCTACAATGATCACTTTCCTTGTTAGGATAGTGAGATTTACACGCAGGTACAATGAAAAAACAATAGAAATTATGTAAAATCCAGACTCATGTGTCTGCTATGGATTAAAATTCCTACAAAGTATTAGATTAATGTGGTCTTTTTAGGCCAATGTGTGCTTTGTGGAAGTGGTGGTATTTGAATTAATTATATCTTAAAGGATTTAGAAAAGGTGAGAGGGGCCTCCCTCGTGGCGCAAGTGTTAAGATGCGACCTATGAGGCAATCCGCAGCCTCTGCAGCACGAGTTTGATCCCTGGCCGGCCAGAGAACAACCCACATGGTACAGCAGACCTCTCCTGACTCGCCCACTGCTCCCCTCAGCAGTGTACTTTACAGACCATCTGCCTGTTCTGCTCCCCACTCTGTCTCTGGTGAATCCTCTCACCCCCCGCATCTCTGGCCTATACCCCAGCTCTTGTATGCATAAATAAATAAGAAAAGGGGAGAGGCTAGCCTAGTGTGAACATAGGTATGCAAGCAAGAATGGTTTGGGCCTGATGTGATGAGCTGTGAGGAAGAAAAACCCCAATGCCCTCAACTCTGTTCATATTTTTTCAGGACCTGCTATGCACCAAGCTTTCTTCTAGGTATTTTACATTTCAGTTTTACAATAAACTACCTAATGATATGGTTGTTGTTATTTGCCCATTTTACAGGTAAGGGAATTAAGGCACAGAAACATCGTTAGTGGGAGGTAAAGCTAGAGTTTGAGTCCAGAATTGTGACTTCAGAGCTGCTGTCTTGATGTCTGTCATATATGTGCAGGGCCCAGAAAGAGTTAGGCTCATGGATAGATTTAAAGAGACAATAAGAGACAAAATAAAATTACCTCATGATTACATTTGGGGAGTTCTGTTTAATATAAACAAACAACAGAAATCAGTTTTGGCTAATTTCAGCAAAAAATGAAGTTATGAAAGAGGATTGGATAGTTAACAGAATCAAAGGAAGAACTGTTAATCAGATTTTGGATAGCACAACAGAATTCCAGGGGTATAGAAGGTAAAAACTCAAGAAAAGCCTCTTTAAGACCTGGTCATCAGAGCGATGGCATTTAAACTGTTGGCTACCTTGAATCATTCTGCTTAGGATTCAGATTCCAGGGGAAAAGGTAAGACTGGCCTATCTCAGGCCTTGTGCCACCCTTCACCCAGGGGGGTTTGGGAGCAGTTCAGAATGACTGAGAATTGTGTCCAGATCATATAACACAGCAAGGGCGGGGGGTGGTTCTTCAAAGGAATATGGAAATATTTATCAAAAGAAGGGGGAAAGGATGCTGGGGAGGAAAAAATAATAGCTACCACTTAATACTAATAGCACATGCTCATAGAGGATTTATGGCTACATTTTCTGTATGTCATTTCATTTATGAAATGAGGGCATTGACCTGAATGACATGGGTTCAAATTAAAATTTCTTTTCACCTAGCCCCTGCTGTGACTCAGCTCTGCCTCTGAGCACCCTCTGAGCATTACAAAAGACTAAGTACATGCATATATGTTTCCCCCTCTCGGTTTTATACCATTCCCTCTTATTAGATTATGATTAAGTGTTGTCATGAAATATGAGCTTTCAGCGCCATCCAAGTATGAGAGCGTGCTCATAAATATCAGAGGTGGTCATGCATTCCAGAAGAATATGAATGAAGAAGAAAGCTTTAATGAGAACAGGTTTGATGAAATAGTGAGACTAAAAGTCAGGCTGTAGAAGAAAGTACCTGGCATTTGAGATATTGTTGAAGGAATACATGCTGGTAGATGCTGCTTGGGCAGGCTATGTCCATGGAGTGAGATTACTGGGAAAAGAGAAGCCAAACCAGAGCACCAGGAGAAAATAGTTTGAGAATATCTAGACTCAAATATTTAAAGTAGTTTCATTGTGTTAGCAAATGGTATAGCAAAATTGATCCATCAATTCTACTTTTAAGAGTTTACTTCATAGAGCTATTTTACACACATATAGGATAATATGAGATTAATCACTACAGATTTGTAGTAGCAAGACAGGAAATAAATATCTATCAACTCGGTAAACTGTGGTATATTCATATAATGGAATTATATCAAAATGGACTGAAGAATGCAGGAGTTGTTTATATGCTAATTAATAATGAGCTCAGTGACATGCTTCAACTGGAAAAAGTAAGGTATAGCAAAACTGTAAAAAGGGAAATATATATTCACATTTATCTGGTGCATTAAATATATCTGTAAAATGTATAATGATGTTGGTCACGTCTGTAGAGGGGTGCTGAGTGGTATAGGCACACCAAAAAGCTAATGAATGAAGATAGAGGAGGGAGAAAGATGACTTACTACATACTACATATATTATTATATTTTTTTGAATTTTCAATCATGTGACTATATCTCCTATTCAGGAAAAAAAAAGGAAAATTAGGTATAAATAAAAACAGTTCGTGCTTTTGAAGTTAACTTAAGGTGGGATTCTTTACTCCTGGAAGGAGTAACTATTAAACATAACTCTTTATCAAGAAATATAACTTAATGACTCTGGCATATTAAATTATTGTACTTTGGGACCTCTACAAAGTTTCTCCCCTATATCAGCTTCCTTTCCTCTGTGAACTATTCTTTCCTTTAAAACTTCTATTAAAATACCAAGACACTGCACTGTAATTGTTATATGTCTGTCTCCCCTACTAGATAGTAAATTCCTTGAGCATATTAACTATGCCTGGCACTCTTTTATATTTTTTAAAGATTTATTTATTTATGCATTCAAGAACTGGGGTACAGGCCAGAGGTGTGTGTGTGTGGGAGGGGAGGTGAGAGGATTCACCAGAGGCTGAGTGGGGAACAGAACAGGCAGATTGACTGAAATATGTTGCTGAGGGGAGCAGCGGGCGGGTCAGGAGAGGTCTGCTGCGCCATGTGGGTCAGCTCCCTGGCTGGGGATCCAACTCCTGCTGTGGATCGCTTCATAGGTTGTGTCTTAATCCCTTGCACTACCAGGGAGGTCCATATGCCTGGCACTCTTGAGAGGTGCTAGTGAATTGAATAAAGCAATGAAGAAATCTTAATACTATATCATAGGCCAAGTATAACAATGATGACCATATCCATGAAAAGCTTTATCTAATTTATTTTACCTCGTAAGTCACTGTCCAGCATTGTTGTTTGGTTTTAGGATCTATATATATCTTATTTTTTCCATTAAGTTTCTGCAAAACAGGAATTTTCTATGAACTTTCCCCCATATACACCTAATTGTTTAGGACACTGTGTGCCTGAATTTTATCAGTCATTTTATTAGGCAATATTAAATGCATTATTTTGATTTTAAAAGCAGCTCTACAAGGTGGATATTATTCTTTTTTATAGAATTTGAGAGAAAGAAACCTAAGTAACTTGCCCCAAGCCAAACTTTCCCTGAGTGGTTGAATTAGGTCATTTAAATAAATTGCTTTTTATTTCCAAGGCACATTT